GGCTGGACTGCAGTTTCGACCTCGCATAGATCTTATCGACACCCCCAGTGGGAGTCGAACAGTGACAGTACAGAATGTGAGCTAAACACATTACTACGAGTGTCCTTAGGTCACAGAGCAGATGTGCATTTCAAGAAAGGCCAGGCCTTTTCCCATATCACATCCTTTGGTGGGATTGTCGGTGAAGCAAACTTATTTTTGATATAACAATCGACTACGTTACTTATTTTTCATACGTAAGCAGAGTTTTGAGACTACCAGTAAATCAGTATTTACCATATTTTTAGGGTGTGAAGGACTGGTAGTAGAATCTTCCCACAATGATATGTGTGGAGCTGACATTTCCATCGAATTTCCCATAGCCTTGCTTTCACAAAACTTGTTCTCATCCAGGGTGGACAACATATAGACAGAATATAGAAAGTAGATCCTAGGTCCCTCTAGGCAAAAATATCCAGCCTGGATGAGATTGCCTTTTGGGAAGCTAGGATGAATGAAATTCAATGGAATTTCGAGACCTGCCCAATCGGTTAAGAGTAAAAGCTCATCTATCAGTCTTTAATCACCCTAAGAGACTTAGCTCTTATTCAAGAGTTATTGATGGCCTCAAAAACCATTCATATCTAAAATGTGCTCATTTGCCGTTAAAATGTAAATATTCTCATCTACAGAATAAATTAGTAATTATAATAGAAAAATAGCTTAGACAGACAGAAAAATAATTAAACTGAACAAAAAAAGAAGAACTTGGAATAACAAAATAAAAAAGTATTATAAAGTATTTTGGGGCTTCGCTCTAGTTAATTCACAGCTAACACTGTATTACGCTAACATATTTTTCTTCTACCAGACTGTATTCATTCTAGTCTGCATAAAGTGATAAGGAAGTGATAATGGAATTTCTAAATATAATATGAGTAGGGTTCATCAAGCCTTACCTTTTATAAGGTATTCGCATCCAGGGTGGATTGCAGTTTTGACTTCGCCTGGGTTTTATCAGCACGTAGTGGCAACGTAACCACGACTGCAAACGCTAATTTTAAGGCAAGACAGGTCCCTCTTATATCACATTTATGGTGAAATTGTATTACAATTGGTATTACAATCGACTAATGTACTAATATTCTACATAGAAGGTTGAGTCACGACTAGTAAGACCTAAATAAGAGATAAGGTCAACCTAGGTCGAATGCTACAGCGAGTTGTATTGGCTTCATAATTCCATTGAATTTCACATAACCTTTGTTATGCAAGGCCAAGTAAAATTCAATGACATCCTGAAGCCTACTTATTAAAATTATAGCAATTATGGTCATAATTCGGGATATACGGATAGTATCGGAGAATACTAATGTTGCATACACTTGACAGATGTAAGCAGATATTTTAAAGCAGTCACAAAATTGGTTAAAGCGTGAAGAATGAGGAGTCGGATAAACTCCATTCTCAAGAATTAACCAACTCGAAAAAGGTTTTTATGAAAAGAAAGATGACTTAAGAGATAAGACACACTAAGTCAGAACTACTAACCGTATGTATAGAATACGCTGGGCCAGCCGCCTGCAGATTGGCAGAGAGCTCCTGTTGCTGGCATCGTCATAGCATTTGCGATGTGAACACCTGCAAGTTGCATGTTAGGGGTGTTATTTGTTTTGGTGTTATTAAGACCGAGATAGATTTAGTCTATGCAGATAATGTAACATAGGGGTCATTAATAATTTTTTTTTTTTTCAGAGGAACATAAAGGGACAAAATTTCGAAGGCTGCGCTAAGCGACTGCATCCTGGCTAAATCAAAACCACGTTCGGAAAACATACAACGAAAGCAGTCATCTCTTAGCGATTACGGTTTTAATTATACATTAATCAGCCCTCAGCCTAGGTTAAAAGACCTAATAGTAAGAATTAAAAAGAGCAAATAAATATTAAACCCACAGATTGGCCCATCCGAAAGCTGTCTAAACCTATTTAACCTGATTATTAGTTAATTATTATTTCTATATTAGAGGATAAGAAAATATAGTGATTTTTTTCAATGATTAGCATTGCTCGGAGTCCTTTGAATTTATGTACACTGAAAAAAAAAAAATTTTAAAGGTTGTTCGGTCTCCACTCGCAAAATATAGATATTAATCGCTAAACGGTGTACCTTGAGCTATGAAGCAATAATTTTCGCTAGTTTTTTTTTTACTAGATTAACTGAATTGCGACAAAAAACAGATCGTTTCTCCCTCAATCCAATTCGTTGACAATGTATACCTCAAAATATAGTTTTGTTATTAAAATAAACCTCCACATTATATGATTCATGACATTATCTATGCTTCGCATGTTCGTAAATTAAGGTAATATATCATTCGAAACATAGAAATTTGCAAGCTTATCAAAGGAGATTAGCAATTATTGCATTATTCTTAGAAAAAACTGACCATTTAAGCGTCTAAATTTCTAGTAAAATTGCACTTTATCTACTTACCCTGAATGATTTCTTTTATAATCAGCGAAAAATAGCATTTCTCTACATTCGGAAGTTTGAAAAATATTTTTAAAACCTTTACAGATATAATTTATTAACTAACTTCTTTCAGTATTGGTAATTATTACTAGTAGACTGAACAAATAAGATAAAATCCTTAATCTAATGAAAATACTATTAACCTTATAAAAGTAGTGCAGGGAAATAAACATTATATGAGAAAAGATAGAGAGTTCAACATATCGATACTGCTTTGCAATGTTGTGAGGATGAGAAATTAAAAAAAATATTACTATTTATCAATAAATGCAAAATAATTATGTTCTGAGTTTTCTAAGGTAAATAAAGGGACTCAATGAAAGAATAAAGTTGAATTTGAATTAAGAATATATCACTCAAGTGAACACCTGACCGAAGTGTACAAAATTAAGAATATCATTTATATTAATCGAAAGCCGCTATAATAACTTGCACAGTACAATATCTTGCTTTCAGGAAAATGGCAAGCAAATAAAAGATGGATTGGTGATTTGTAATTTTAGCGTCACTTGCCGGCATAGGCGATTCCAATGAGAACGCCACGTTCGTTTGCAGGTACCCATCTGGCAAATATTTGGTAAAAACAAGGAAACCAGGAGCCCTGAAAGAAGAATATAGGATTTTTCCATTCACATCCACATTAAAAATGGACAAAAAAAGTCTTGCAAGCCAAAGCCTAAGGTGTAGAAAAGTATATATGAGCTTAAATAAAGAAAAAATATAAGGTCAGCCGATTTTTTAGATGAACATGCAAATAAATTCATAGTGAGAATCTAAAAATAAGTCATTCTTTATAGGTTGGACAGTATTCCACAGAAAATAGCCTTTTAAAATTTAGTAAAACATAAGTACGATAGAATGTGATTTTTAAATATTAAAAAAATCTCTTTTATTGCTCATAGTTATAATTTAATAGTATGCATACAACAAAATGTAAATAAAAGTAATAAACATTCTAGGTCACGGAAGGCGATGAACGGATGATAGTTAAATTTTCAAACGATAATATTGATGGGATTCGCGATGAAATTCCCTTTACTAAGATTTCTCTTAGAAAAGATGCTCAACAGGGTTGGAATACGGTTCCGACCTGGCCTGGGTCTCATCAGCGACCTCGGGCGAAATCTAAACTGCCCTACACCATGAATGAGATTATCTTTTGTGAGGTGGAGCTAAGTAGCATTCATTGAAGGAGTAGGGCTTACTCATATCATCAAGAGATGTTCGATCAATGTCTATCTGCCTGTCATCATCTTGTGTGACCTAAGAAAAGTACAGCTCTTATTCAAGATCTAGTAATAATATCGAAACCTACTAACTAGGAACATAAGCAAAGATGAATTGAAGAGAGGAATGATTTCGTTGAAGGACTACACCGAGCATCACTTTTAGGGTAATTTGGAATCCAAGATAGTTTGCAGTCTCGGCCATATCCAGGTGCCATCAGAACTCTTCGGTCTGTATACCTCCAGAGAAAATTCTGTGTCCACTCGACAACACGAGCTGTTCTGAAACTGAAATTTGTTCCAGATTTAAATGCAAAATAAGCAGTTGCTAAGGCTGATTTGATGAATAAAACCAAAGCCAACCCAGGTTTGGGATGTATGTTCGGTGTATATGATAAGATAAATGCGAACTAAGACAAGTAAGATGGTTAAAACATCATAATAATTTTCCATTGGATTTTCAAAGTAACCTGAGTACCTAGAATTTATCTTAAAGCTAATATATAATTTTTTTGTAAGTGAGAAAGTTTACGAGACCACCAGAAAATCAGATATATGAGTTGTGTTCACCCTTCTTCGTTTAGGGTGATTAAGGACTGGTTGTTGATTTTCTCCACAATGATATGAGCAGAGTTGACGTTTTCATCGAATTTCACATAACCTTGATTTCCCAAAAGTTGTTATCATCCCAGCTGGAGTGGACTGCAGTTTCGACCTCGCATAGGTCTTATCAACATCTCCAGCGGGTTTCGAACCGTGACAGTGCAGAATGTGAGCTTGACACGTTAACCACTCTACTACATTGCCACGAGTGCGCAACGTGAATCCCAAGAAATATATCGCATTTTCCATATCGCATTTTGTGTTGTGATTGTCGATGAAGCAAACTTATATTTGCCATAGCAATCGCTGACATTACTATTTCCCGTGAGAACACTTTTGGGAAAACAAGGCTATGTGAAATTTAATGTAAAATATCGGCTCTACTCATATTATTGTGGGAAAAATTAATTAACAATCATACGTCACCTTAAACGAAATAGGGCTGACACAACTTATATAGCTAATATATAAGTTTTAATATGCACCTGTGTTCTGAAGAAGCACGTAGACTGTCTCTAAAATATAAAACGCTTGCCGTCTACAACTCCAAAAATCGAGGCCACGAAAAGAAGAGAGAAAAGGAACAGATAGTATTACCAATTGTCCTATTTTGAAATAGCCGAATACAGTATAGGGGAGTTGACAATAGAAAGGCAATCACCGAAAGATAGCGCCAAATAGAACATTGTGAACACCGCGGGCCACGGCGGAGCGGAACAAGAGAAGGAAAAGAACTTGACCGACTTAAACAGAATGTTAGCTACATGATATACCCTTGTGTAGTTTTTCATGTCAACTTCTGATTGGACGATGCGGTGCCAAGCTTTGATCGGGCGACGCGAAATAAGGGGTCAAGATTAGTCATGCACTAACTTGATATCTGCGTCAAAGGATGTTAAGCCATGGCTATGTATGGGATGTAACTAAAGCTAAACACTAAATGGAAAAAGTGTGGGGATAGGTGACTACAATGCCTTGAAATCCAACATTAATTTAGGTATGGAAACCAAATAGTGGTGCCAGAAGCCTCCGAGCAAACGGAGTAAATTATTGAAGCTGTCCTAGCGTCATGTCACGATTCTTTTTAGTAGGGTTACTCTGCAATACTTTTTAATACAGTTTCTGACATTACTCATTTTTCATCATGACGTTTACTTCTCGTCATATCCAATATATTTTGAATTATCTTTATTTTGCAGTTACTCTTTTTGCCTTGTGGTTTAATCATATTTAATGTTTTACCTCTTGATTGATTTCCCCCCTATACTTTAGATACTCTCTTCATTTTTTTGGTGTCTTCGATTTTTATTAGTTTTACATACAAAATCTTAATTCATTGATCTAGTTATACATAAAAATTACCAACTCACCGAACATATACCTGAAACTACTCGCAAGGCACAAAGCAGAATTACACTGGTCCTGGCGGCAAACGGTACCAAAAGGGTCGAAACTGCCAGCAGTCCCATCGAAACGTGGACTAAGCGTTTGACACCAATGCGCGCAGCCAGTAAACTAGAAGGTATTTGGCTTACCAAATACCCCCAAAAGAAGACGCCAAGTATGAGGCCTCTGGTCTGGCTGTCCCAGACGAATTCTCCATCCTCCAACGTCTAGACATAAGAAATGGATAAATAAAACAAGCATAAATAAGGACTATAATCGTATATGCGATAGTTCAAAGGAGTCAAAATTCTGTTAAAAGGACAAAGTTTGAATGAATTTGGGGGTTATACAGCCAAATAGCTTGAAATCTCGATACGTATTAAATTATATGCCGCAATATTGCATCGTAAGTGTGAGAACTAAAATTTCGGCAAGAAAGTAAATTCAAGATGATATCACCGGTGGATTCAGTTAAGTGTGAAAAAATCTCAATATATCTCAGAACATCTAAAACGTGTGAAAAGCATACAAGGCAGATTCACTTATAACAGAATTTGTGTACACAAGCACCATTCTCTAAAAGTAAACTAGCCTCAGCGGAACACTGAAAAAAACGACATTTATTCAGATTATTCGTAATGACTAAAAGCAAGAGAATTGTCCAAATCAGAACACGGACTATCGTAATTAGTCGCCAAGTCGTATGCAATTCTAGAGTTTTATTTTCACAAAATAATCAAACAAATGTTACGATTTGGCAACGAGATTTAATGCAAGATGTAGCCATACATCGGTTTATCATAAAGCTTGTAGTGAACTATTCCCACACTTTTCCAATTCAATGTTTAGTTTTTGTTACATCCCATTCCTAGACACGGCTCAACATCCTTTGACGCAGAGACCAAGTGAATGTGTGACTAATTTTGATCCTTTATTTCGCGTCGCCCGATCAAAGCTTGGCACCGCATCGTCCAATTAGAAGTTGACATGGAAAATTACATAAGGGTATATCATGTAGCTACCATTCTGTTTAAATCGGTCAAGCTCTTTTCCTTCTCTTTCTCCGCTCCGCCGTGGCCCGGGGGTTCACATAATTCTATTTGGTGTTATCTTTCGATGATTGCCTTTCTATTGTCAACTCCCCTATACTATATTTGGCCGTTTCGAAATAGGACAATTGGTAATACTATCTGTTCCTTTTCTCTCTTCTTTTCAGGGCCTAGAATTTTGGAGTTGTAGAGGGCAAGCGTTTTATATTTTAGAGGCAGTCCACTTCCTTCTTCGGAACATAACAAACTTATCTAAGTTCGATTGACTCCAAGGGACTAAAAAGTAGTGATACAGTGAAGTTTTATCGCCAAATGTCCGTTTCCATTTAGATAGCAAACGTTTTATGTATCCTGAGGCATAAACAAAATATTCTGAGAGTCAAATAATCAATCATCGTTTACTAAGTAAATTATACATACCTAAATCATTCGGTTCTACTGCAGTTCCTAGTTTCAACTAAACGTGAATTAACAACTCTATTTCAGCGTCCTCTTACTGACTGAGACACAAAACCTTCGATGAAGGTAAAATGATTTAAGCGCAGATTTTTGCAAAATGACCCAAATCAGTAAAACCAATAAAGATGTTGGCGGCAAGAACATTCCTTCTTCTACAAGTAAATCAGAACAGGGCTTAAAGCAGAAATATCACTAGTGGCCCGGATTGCCGAAACAATGCCTAAAGGTTAAAATTGATGTAGCGGAAATTTATGCTGTTCCCTTGAGCTAGAGCACTTTCAAACCACGAATAAACCTCGAACTAAGGCTTAGCTGTGCAAGCATTCCCTCTGATTTTCATAAACTCAAACATGCAACAAACCAATTCTTTGAAAGAAAAGAAAGGAAGAATAGAATGTGCAAGATACAAGGAGGATTTTGACTCTGTCAAGAGTTATTTCCTCATGACCTTTCCACCAAGCGAAGCAGTAGGACCGACCTACAAAGGAAAAATAATGAAAAAGTACTACTCAAATTGGATGCAAGTGGAGGGTAGAGCGCG